GGGTGCAGCAGTTACAACTATGGAATTATAAGAATTTGCCATTAATTATGCAAATTAGGTCCTCATTTACATAATCTATATCCTCAGATGTTTTTCTCGTTCTCAAGTAGATGTCACAACTGTTTCATAGTTCTATTATCGAACAAATCAGATTTATAGAATTTCCTCATTAATTATGCAAATTAGCTCCTGATTTGCATAATTGCCATCTGATTATGTCAAGCATCACTTCAACTACCTACATACCAAAAATCACGACAATATGTCAACCGGTTCTTGAGTTATCGTCCTTCAAATTTTTTTCAACAAATGCTCCTGCAGTTCCAGAAAAAGGCGCTAGGGGACCCAAACTCATGTCACTTCTTTCCTACCCCAAGAGCTATCTACCAACCAAAATTCGTGACCCTAGCATGTCCAGAACATGAGATATCAAAACCGGAAGTTCAGCTGCAGTACCTAGGAAAGCCGCCAGGGGGCCCAAAATCTAATCATTTCTAGGTCTCATGAAGTCCTACCCACCTACCAAGTTTCATTCCAATCCATCCACTGCTTCTCGAGTTATCTTGCTAAACCACACACACACACACACAAACCCACACACACACAGACAAACGCTACTGAAAACATAACCTTCTTGGCGAAGGTAATAACAACATTGTTGGCATAGCAGGTTACTAGTAAAACATACAACGTTGCCTTTCAGTGTTTTCCACCATTAGCAATGCCCATATCCTATGTATTGTTCACACATCCGATCGCATTACCCCAAGATTCAGGGGCAAATAATGGTCAGGACTTGCCTGTCAGCCAGCATAAGGCAATACCAATACTCTCAGCCAGGGGGAGTAACAAAATGGTCAAAACACACACATTGCTTATATAAGTTAGGATCGTTTTCAGACTGAAAATACCAGTTAGTCTGCAAGTTGCAAAGTTATAGTTGCAAACTTGTCTGCCATTTTTTCTCTCAAATCTTGCAAAACTTCCATGGGTAGAATAATAAAATTGCAGGATTCTGAGTGCCTATCTCTCAGTCTTACTTATGTGGCATCAAAGGTGTACAAATTCTTAATAGATATAACGTTATCAATCCATGATAGAACTTAATATAACAGTTATATGTGTACATTTCAAGAGGTTGTTGTTTAGGTAGAGATAGAGAATTTCAAAGAACTAGAAGAATATCGATGACATGGTGGTTACAGGTAACAGAGGTTAAAGCAAATAATCCCTGGTTCAAGTAAAACTAGAGTTCCACGATCTCATACCTTCGCCAAATGATGTTAGCTTTTATGATTAAGAAATTATAGATTAGTCCCCCTAATTATGCAAATAGGATCCTCAATTGCATGAATTATATCTGTTGATCATATTCTCCACCAAAAGACAGTCTTATCTTAACGAAGAATGCCATGATGACATTTTCTCATAAATTATGCAAATGAGGTCCTTATTTGAATAAGTTATGTTTAATTATGTTCACCTAAACTTAACTTTCAAACACCCCAAGTATAAAATTCCAGGCAGTAACCACTATGCAATTATAATATTTTCTCATTAATTATGCAAATTAAGTTTTCATTTGCATAATCGATATCTGCCTGT